CCCTGTATATGTACTATTTGGGGGTGTTTACGTGCAACGCATCACACCGCAGTTAAGCGCAACGAATGCGGTGCGGAAGTAACTACGCCACCGAAGGGCAAAACAAGTCAAGGGTCTATGACCTGATCAAGACTTATAATTATTTGAAAATATTGTGGAAAATTGCCAACAGGGCAAGGTTTAAGACAAAAATCTGGCCGGAAAATACGAAACTATGTACTTACGATAGTCCTTGCAGGTTTCGCAAGTGCAGTGTTGGTCCGCGCTATCGCAATAGTTAATACTGGAACAGCAGGGACCATTCCCATAAGGGTCACACTGGCCGGGGTTCGCTCCTTCGGCTGGGTACTCTGTTCCACAACGTCCATCATCTCTCACAACGGCTACGGTAAAAACAAAACAAGGTAAACAAGAAAAATAATCCTCTTAGTGAGATATCAGTGCACGTTGAAAAATTAATGTCCAAATCGCTACAAAAGCACGCCGTTTTTGGAAATAAATGACATATCTCCTGAATGATGGAATAGATTATCTTTGGTAAAATTGAAATTTAGTATAGCTAGTATTGATTGTATTTTAGTATAGTTTATGTATCTGTCCTAGTATAGTTTATGTATCTGCAAGAGGACTGAGTGAGTGAGTGAGTGATCTGTCCTTTTTGTCTCTTCTTTGCTATACATTGTGTCAGTTACAGTTTTTGAGCAATAAAGTTGTTTATGATCATTTAATGTTTTTGGAAAATACCTATGGACCCACCTATTGTCAACAGCCATCTAATAGACAAATGCAATTAGCCTACTAGCTTCTAGAGGCGGTGATTGGCAAGAGTAGAAATTTGCTAAATAGAGAAATAAAAAGGCCATGGATGTTGGTCCGCTAGAGAGTACAGTTTGCAGTAGTAAGGTTGAACTGTACTCTCTAGCTAACTTCCCTGACATGTTATCTCTCTATGTGGCCAATTTCTACTCTTTTCAGCCGCCCTAAAAGCCTGATAGAGGCTATAATGCAACGGCACTTATGATTTGAACAGTTAGCCATGTATGTACTGTTCATCGTTGATACAAAATATAAATTTGAACATGGGCATAAGGTGAACTTACCCAAGCAAGTCCTTCCATCGACGCCAGCAGGTTGGGTCCCGGTTGGGCATTCTGCGATGCACTCGGTTCTTCCCGCTTCGTTCTTGAAGGAAACGTGCTTGCAGGAGCGGCATTCCGTATTGAGCTTGGATCCAGGAGACGTTGGAATACATCCTGTATTTTGTACAGAAAAAAGTCCATTAATATCCATTATTGTATAAGTCGGTGAGGTGATTATAGCAACTGACAAGGCTTTATCACACCATATTCACCGAGAAAGGGCGGGCCATTAACACTATTATCATATAGCTTACACGATAGCCTATCCAAACTGATACAGTGAAGAGTCACACAATGTACCCCTTGCACATGCTGAATAGAACACAGAATATATGTTCCGTCTGAAGTCACCTGAGGTCACTGGGGGGTTCACGTTCTATGTCTTCTATCTGGGTCACAGGCAGGGAACAGGTGTTCTTATGGGAGTCATTGGAACACAACTCAAGTTATTTTTGGATTTTTTAGAAGTAGAGCCGTGTTCTATCGGGTCACCTGAGGTCATATGCGGGTGATTATTCATTTTGTTTAATGTATGGATTGGGATGAATAAATACCCGATTTTGACTCTATTTGTGACATTACGGCGACATAAAGAATGTGGAATGGAGCCTTCTGATTGGTCAACGTCACCCGGCTATATGATAATATCCATTATTGTATAAGTCGGTGAAGGTTAATCATCCAGGATAAAGATAAAGTGATAAAGCCGTTAAATCTTTTCGAACTGGATAAATTGAAATCTAAATACGTATTCTAAAATATCAGTACTATCTACATGAAAGGAATGATCAACATTCACCATGGACATTAGTTTCATTTAGATAGTACTGATATTTTAGACCGTAAATCCAGATGGTTTGAACGGGGGGTAAGGGAGTCTATCTATGAACATATTTATCGGCCGTCTTTGAATAGAAGGGGGGGGGGTTAAGATTTGATCTTTCAGGCTCCTGGGACATCGCTTTGCAACGCATTTAATCTTATTCAGACACGTTTTGATTGCATTTTTGCCGTACTTTAGGTTTTAATTAGTTATTTTCTTTCCTTTTTGAATATATTTTGGTACTTACCTTTTGTTTATTTAGAATACCTTTAGATTATTTTTAGAACCTTGTCAGTTACCTTTTGTTTATTTAGAACCTACTTTAGAACATTGAATGTTTTTGTTTATTAAGAACTTATTTCTTGTTCCGTAAATTTCCTCTACATTTTACTGATGAAAGGTAACGGATGGTACCTGAAACGTTGACGTATTAAAATTTCAATTTATCCAGTTTGAAAAGATTCAACGGCTTTATCACTTTATTGTATAAGTCAATCAATCTTTAAGATTCTGCACGAACAACTATGAAAGGCGTGCTAGTGTCTCGGAAATGAAAGGAAACCCACTGTATGTGTCACTGGAAGGCAGACGAAAAATTTCCAGACTATGCATGATTTACAAAATGACTAATGAACTTGTGGACGTATTAACTACTAAGTACCTAATACCAGCCCAGAAGAGAACAAGAAATAGCCATGCCTTCAAGTACCAGAGTTATCAACCAAGGATTGAGGTGCTCAAAAACTAATTCTTTCCTAGAACTATCGCAGAGTGGAACTCGCTGTCACCAAGTACGGTTAGGGCATTATCACAAAACACAGATACGTCCCATATTATTAATTCCATCAGCCAACGTCTGAAAGACATCCATTTTAAAACGTCCCTAAAAGAAATACACAATGATAACAAAGGCGGAGCTACTAGAAACAAATTGAGATCATGAAGACAACGTATAATGGAGAAAAGTATCTAAATCTCGACAACATACGGCATAGGACCGCCACTACAAAACTCAGGATAAGCTGCCACAAACTACACATTGAAACCGGACGCCATAACCGCACTCCCCCGGAACAACGAATATGTAGGCATTGTAATCTAAATAGGATAGAGGATGAGGAACAATTTGTATTAGAATGATAGCTTTAGATGTCTAGAGTAACATGTTAAGGGTTATGTGTAACAAGTCGGTCGGTGAAGTGTAGCCAACTGCCGCCGCGCCGCGTGCCCGGGACACGGTGCCCGGGAATACTGAAAGAAATGTACAATTGATTACAAAAGACTCCTGGAAAAGCGTACCGTTACACTCGGGATGACAGTCTTCAACACATATCCCGTCCTTCAGTACAGTTCCTCCTGTACATTCCATGTCTCCGGTTGCCCCTCCCTCGATGACTCGAGCGTCCATGATCTCTACTGGCTTTTCACCGCTGCCGAAGGAGTAGAAGCGAATGCCCAATGGTGGACCCTGATAAATGTAGACCATGTAGACCAGGCCTGTCTCCTGTAGGCAAGAAGAAAATAATTTGCAAATTCATACCCGAGGGCTAATTTGCAACATGACACATACAGCACATATGCAAGTAGAACAAGCATGACAGTTCATCTGAGTTGGTGCAAGTCATTATGAAAGAAAGGCGCAACTTTATGTGCCTCTAATCGGGGTAGTTCCAAATTAATGGTAGTGTTATCGGCAGGGTCTTTATTTCAAAAGTAGACCAAGTTATTCTATAAATTGCTGCAGAATACAATCTAAACATTTTGGGTTTGAATTGCTTTAGAAGCTGAGGAATTGGAAAGACGAAGTGTCCCACTTGTTCTGCATTGAGTAGATTTTGGGAGGCTAACAGGGTTGTAGTTTTGTTTTTGCTAGTAAACGTTTAGAAGTTGTGGTAAGTTTTGGTGGCTTCTTTAAATAGCTCTTTAAAGAAAACGTTTAAACCATTATTGTAAGATTGTGGTAAACAGCATCTTAGTACACTAGTATTACATTGGTGATATCGATGTTTAGATATAGTCAGCAAATCTGGTGATTCATTCATTCATATATATACCACCAGATTTTATGAGTACATCTAAACATATGACTTACGGAAGTGTCCGAGCCGACGCCGTATTTGATGTAGGTTCTCATCATCTCTGCGTCTTCCTCCAGGCAAATGAAGTAAGGCTGGAACAATTTGGAGTCACCGAGACTTCGGGCACTCTTCGCTCCCTCGTACTTCACTAGCTTCATTCCCTGAGAAAGGTATGTTTCGATCTTTGAGTATGTCTTTTAAATGAATTAAAGACCTTTATTGTACGTCTATGTTCGTACAAGCTAAGTACAGTTCAAGAATAAACAGGAAAGATTACAGTTGCTGTAATATCTTACTAAAACTAAACATACTAATGTGAACTACTATTTACAGGTTCAACTTCGTCTCGCATTTTGAGGCGGTTGTAGATGTGCGAACATATGGAGCTAGTGATACATGGTTTTTCAAGTTCCATAAGGGATACGACATCTTCTGTTTCATCTTAATGTCTAAAGCTTATCTTTGATATAAGTATAAAGGGAATCTGTGTCATTTCTATATAATGCACAATAAAGTACAAAATGACACTCCTCCTCAATTTTATCAATGGGATCGTGTGGCGTAGCGGCAGAGTGCGCGACTCGGAACTGAGAGTCCCGGGTTCGAGTCCTGACATGCCACCAATCTTGTGCCCTTCGGAAAGGCACTTTACACGACTTTCCTGACTTAGCTCAGGTGTAAATGAGTATTGTCCCGTCATGTATTTGTCCCCTGTGTTCGTGGCGTCATTAATATAAGTTGAAAACTTGAGTGTGTCGTCACCACGTCTGGTGATTACATGTTGGAATAAAAAAAAATCATCTAAATTACAAAATTGGCAAATCCTTTCCTGTAGAGGAATGCAGTCATGTCTGCATTTTTCTATGTGGAGTCTATATGAACTAATCCGGAGTTTTGTGATGGCTGTTCTGTGTCGAATGTTTGTAATGAATCAGGATTCGATTTTAGAAAAACCTGACTGGATTGTATGTATATACAGTTGATGCCTAAGATCTTGAAGCTCAGAGGAAACGATGACGTTACCTTGTAGAGAGCAACACCTTGATAACTGATCTGGAGATGGTACCAGGTGGACACGTCCCTCGGAATGGCGGAGAACACGGCAAAAATGTCGCCTGCAGACGCCGCAACGAAGTACAGGCACCTTCCTCCCTCTTCCGCAGGTTTGATCTGGTACGAGTTGGACCACTTCACATGACAGGGAGCCTGAACGATATTCGCTAAAGCACCACTGTTGGGAACAACAAACCAGCGTTACTTAACAGTACATACTACATCACATACCTTGCGACCAAGTAGGGCACACGTTCTGTTCCGGTGACCTCAAATGGAACATTGCATTCTGTTAAAATGTACATGTATTTGTGTATTATGTTGATCATTCAGTAAACCTAGTACACATTTACAATACGATATCATCTGTGTATTTCTTTACGATTGACAAGACTGCCATATTTGCCGTTTGGGTGATCTTGACAACCTCTCTACGTGGACAGAAACCAACAGAATGAAACTGAACCCGGGGAAGTGTAAGGCAATGCAAGTCTGCTTTGTCCGGATTCCACCTCCTCCTCCTGTTCTCAGCATTGGCGGCCACGAACTTGAAGTTGTCAGTATCGCCAAGTGCTTAGGAGTAACCTTTCAGTCAGATCTGAAGTGGGACATGCACGTCCTGGAGATGTGTAAAAAGGGGAACCAAAGGCTGTACCTCCTATGTAGGCTGAGGCAGTTTCACCTACCAACACACGACTTGGTTACTGTTTACACGAGTTTCGTACGGCCGGTCCTGGAGTATGCAACACCCCTGTGGCATCCAGGCTTAACGTCCAGTCAACGGAGGAAGATAGAGAACATCCAAGTGCGGGCAACTAAGATCATCCTCGGCAACACCTTTCACAGCTACTCTGCAGCATGTGAAGCACTACAACTCCAGAAACTCGAAGACCGACGTGTCTCTCTGTGCCTGAAGTTTGCCCAGAAGCTGTACAAGTCTGAACAGTACAGACATTGGTTTCCTCGACTTCGGGGAGAGATCAGTGGGAGGGAAACAAGACAGAACAAAAAACTAGACCAATTGCCAGCACGCACAGCAAGATATGTGAAAAGCCCATTGCCTTACCTCGTCCAGCTTTTAAACAGCACTCTGTAATGTAATCCTGTAATGTACATGCCGTTATATATTTGATTTTAATCTAGTACTTTTAATGAGGTTGGTATTTTAACTTTTAGTGTTGTATTGTAAAATGTAATGATTATATTGTCACAATATGTTTTTATACAATGTTTTTATACAATGTACGGGACATGTAATTCAGCCTTCGGGCTGTGAGGTGTTTCAAATAAAACCCGCATTATTATTATTATTATTATTGTTTACACTATGTAGCATACATGTATGTTTAGATCGTATTGAGAGGGTGTGAACCAACTTGATAGCCTGGTATCTATACTATTCTATCCCCCCTAGCTCCCCGGATTCTTTTCTACATTACAGTTTGGTATTCGGTCGGTCCATTAAGATTGGAATTTGAATATTGGCCTGAAACCGGCAATAGGCAAAGATATGCATTGGTTAATCATGACATAAGGACAAAATGTCTAAATTGGGATGAGGGCCTGATCAGTTTGCGTTAAATTGATATCATTGGAAAGAACCGGGATTCACCAGTTTCCCATCCCCAGAATGCTTAGCGAAAACAGGGGGTCTAAACCTCATTTGCGTAGGACAGGAAGGCATCGGAATGATCCTGGTGACGTTAAACAGCTTGTTTTTCACCGTGCTTTGAGGTTTTGAGCATTTTATGTTCAACATTAATTAAATTACTATGGGTCGAATCTGACAACAAATAGAGAATGAAGTTTTTTAATGTGTTCTTTTCAACATGGATCATGTGGTTTGTAACGTTACAGCGTTCATTTATTCCAAAAAAATAATTCTCTATTTGTTGTGAGATTCAACCCATATTAATTTAATTAACCTTGAGCATAAAATACCTCAAAACACACTGAAAAACAAGCTGTTTAACGTCACCAGGATCATTCCGATGCCTTCCTGTCCTATGCAAATGAGGTTTAGCCCCCTGTTTTCGCATTGCATTCTGGGGATGGGAAACTGGTGAATGGGGCTAAAATGGACTGGATTACAGGTCACGAAACTTACCCTGTTGCCCGGGCGTGCTCCATCGGGCTGACATATTCGGCTCTGGCAACAGTCCAGTCTACGTAGCTGCGAGGTAACCGCCCCAAAACCTGTAAAGACAAGGCCAGCGCAATTGCAAAAAAAAATCAGATTTTATCAAATTTAAAAAATCCAAAACAGCCTCCAGTTTAATTCTGGACTTCCAGTTTAATTCCAGACTAATTACCATATCTCAGCAACCTTACATCTAGATTGTAAACTATAGGTAACAATGGTGTATGAAGTATGTGCATGTGTATATGTAGCAGTCATCAACGACCCCTAGGGAATTTGCCCAATTCTGCAGCCCCAGTTACAAGAATTTTGCAAACTTGTTGCTCCCAGTTTCATTGAGTTAATCCCCAACGTATTTCTTACATTTTTATAAATTTATTATGAGATATGGGAATTAGTCCGAAGTTAAACTGGAAGTCCAGAATTAAACTGGAGGCTACTACATGTCGATGAAGGTTAGACTTTAGGTTATACGATACGCCAAAAAGCAGTTACTCAAGCAACTGGATATGATTTTGGAATCGGTCAGATGTTTCAGCTAGTATCCACTAGCTTTCGTCAGTGACTGAGAGACCAGAGGAGAAATGCAGGCTGTTTAAATCAAACTTTACTATATGTCAGAGCAGAGATTCCACTTCGTCACCGATTCTCCCGGTAGAGATAGCGATCAGTCTCTATCGATCCGATCGGGATACCGTCTCCCATTGTATCAATCCTAAAGTTCAAGTAAATTCATTCATTCATTTTTAATTCAAAAGTGACACCGACCGAACTTGGAAATTTCTGAAACTTTTAGAATGATTGTTGAAAGATATTAATATATGAAACATTTTAGCTTTGCACCAAATGTTGAAATATTTGAATTGAAAATACTTTGTGGTGTTTTTGTAATTTACTGTGACTTTTCAACGTATTTATCCTATTATATCACATTTCTGACATTTATTGCAGATGCTAAAACAGTCCAAAGAAGGAAATGTACACCTTCTCATTGGGATTTCTACCAACAGAATCGGCGATTCTGGCAGAATGCCATCTCTAGCCTGACATGTACCTTATACAGCCAGTATTGTACCGTCAAATAAACTATGGGTACCTGCGTGGAAGCGTCTTGATCTTCTTGTGTGACAATAAACGTCCCGGATGCTTCCTGGTATGTCATCACAAAACCATAGCAGGAGACCTGAGTGTGTAAGATAACATTGTCACAGACTGTCATGTTCATATGCGCCCTCCACCATTAAAATCAACTGTAAAAAAATTAATATAGAACATGCTCATAATTTGTATATATAAGTCATTCTGTGAACTACGTGTATGTAATTAACAACTGTGGAATATACTGTTCCAGATCGAACGCATCGAATCCACTGTTCTATTTCGAACACGGCCTTTGTTTTAAGGTCCACAGGCAATGCCTTTATAGATGTTGGGTAGATGTTCTTTTGCCATATAGATATGGCAAAAGAATAGTACCAGTGAGGCACGTACTTAGCGGCATATTGTAAACATTGATGGTCAGCTGCCTTTACGTTTTCATAAAGTATCGGCAGCTCGTATTTGACCGCCTACAGTTCGGATCGTACAATTGTAGAAGAGGAACTGTTGCAGTCCAAAACGTGTTATTACAAAACATATTAATTACCAGTAGATTCCGTTTAGGAATACAGGTGCATTCTACTTCGTAGTATTCCAAAATAAGGTTTTGGAATGGAACCTGTTTCGGAATGCAACTGGGACATACCTTTTTCTTTCTGGTGTCACCACTTTCACCATTGTTTCGGCTGTTGTACATGTGCACTTCGGCCCCGGGCGCATGGCAGTTCCATCTATCAAAACAGCAACATGTTGTCACAATAATTTTTTCTTCGCTACCATAACTACTTAACTTTAAAAAAAATTAACAAAAATGGTAGTAAAATTGCCACATAGGTCTCAGATAGTTCTTTTATATTTATATTGATGATTAGGCCATGCAATTGTAAGTCACTACCTTTGTAAGGCAAAAACCAAGAAGACTTCTTTGCTCTTCGTAATGTCGTCGTTGATGTTTTCAGGAAGATCAAAGATGAGCTGTAGTTAAAAAACGAAAGTATGTCATTGATTTGGAAACTTTTTTGTAATGACCTTTATAGATTAGCATAGATGACATATTTTTCTCATATAGTCAGGCTTTGTCGACCAATGTTTGCTATAGGGTGGATAATGAAGTAAGTTTGAAATTGGATAATGATGTCAATGACCCGATTTTCCTTTGATGTTTATGGTGAAAACAGGGACAGTGGCCCATAACCACGAAAATAATCCACGTCTTATTACACGCTTGCTGCGTTATTTGGTGGTTACAGAACGTACTGCACCTGCTCCAAACCCGTAAGGCCATGTTGATTTGATTATATGGATGACATCCGCGCGCGCATGAATTTTCGGCCGTTTCCAAAAAAAAAAAAGTTTTCAACCATACTGTAAATCAAACAAAACAGTTGCAAAATGAGCAAAAATAAGTTACCATAATACCATAAGTTACCAAAAAATAATAAAAACTATACCAATGTCGTAGAATGCCAAAATCCAACGAAAAAAGACGAAATTGTAAAGAAATGAACTTGAAGACTAGATTATTCGCCAAACCATATTCTGTGCCATTTGCTCAACCCCAATGACCACGTAGGTTTCATAATGAAAAGAACTTTTTTTTTTTGCAAAACTTTTTTTTTATTCGCACGCGCGCATCAGTTTTGGGGCTCCCGGAGGATGTCATCCATATAAT